TTTAGTAGCTCACATTCACAAATGAGCAGGGAAAAATACCCGCATCTGTTCCTGCACAGCTGATCTGAGATGTAAAGTCAGTTAACAACCTTTTTTACAACATGATCCAATGTCCTCACTTGTAAGTCAACTTCTGTTAAATAAAAAGATTATGCAGATGATAGAAAACAAACAACTTAGTTAATGTAAGTTTGTGAAAGTTGAATTCTCCCTTCCACCTATCCAAATTGATTTTCCAATTGTCTATGATTATGTAGACCAGAGTATATAACAAAGGGAATACTTAGCTCTCCTTACCTGGCTGAACTGGAAAACTGGGGGAAACACATTATGCCCTACTTTCCAGAGCACTGAGAAGTATCAGTAGTGCATCAAGCAAGATTTGTTTAATAGCTGTCCTTTTTTCATTAACATCCTTTAAACATAGACTATCCAGTTGTCAGAGGTGACTGGAGGCAATTTTCAATATTTGTAATGATTTACAATTACACAGGTTGCAGAAGGCAGAAGGTGTGCTTACCCTTAGTTTAAGAAGGTCAGATAAAGATCTAACAGTGGATTTGTACAATAGGCGTTTATAGAATGGCTCCTAGACTGCTGTTTATATTTTATATTGTGTTTTATTGTTTTTAAATGTTGTAAGCTGCCCAGAGTCATTATTGTGAGATGGGTGGCTACATCAATCAAATCAAATCAAATCAATGAAAAATAGCTATGTTTTGTATGACATGTGGTGGAGGTATGATAAGTTAAACATGTTTCCCTGGAGAGCAGAAACGACAACTTCAGCAAAGACTGAAGAACTGGTGAATAGACCAGTTCTTTGGAACCCCTCCAGTCAAGGAAAGGATGGGAGATTGTCAACATGTGCTCCGGACGGCTGCTCCTCACAAGGAGACTGCAGGATATGGTTCCCACAGGTTTGAGTGTCAGGAGACAGAGGGATCAGACTTCAAGATCACAACTGCAGTGGATCCTTTTAAAAGATACTAAATTTGCTAACCTCTCTTCTAATCGTTTTAGAAAATTGCCTCTTTAGTTATCTTGAGGCTATTAGAAATCTTTGGAATGACAAATTTGAAAAATTATTTATAGAGTCAGTTTTCATTTCTGAACAAAAGAACAATTATCTGTAAGTTTAAGAACTTAAAAAAGTTGAAGTAAATAGCAAAAACTACTTAAGATTTTGAACCAAGAAAATTATAAACAAATTAAGGGTCCAGACAAATCAGAATACTGAAACTTTTACTGCAAGATTTTGGAATTAACTATATAAAATAAAGCAGAATTATTTTGTCTAGTTGAAGTCATAACAGAGATTAGAGACTTTATGTTTTAAACTATATACTAGAGGGACTAAAGATTCCAGGCAAAAAGAAAACAAAACTGCCTTTGGTTTTGATTTGGATTTGGATTTACAAAATGACACAAAACACTGTAGCATTTGAAATATTAAAGGAGATCTTAGAAAAATGAGGCCAGAAATTAGTAGCCACAATATCAACAATATTAGTATTGATATCTGCTTCTATGGATAGCCTATGTTTAAAGGATATTAATGAAGAAAGGAGAGATATTAAACAAATCTTGCTTGATGCACAAATAGCTGAATCAGTAATACTAGATTTTAAAAGTGTGGATTTCAAGGTAGAGAAGGAATTTAAAGTGAAAATACAAGTGGCAGGCCAAGAAACGACCCTGATAAGGACTATTGGATATACAATAGAAGCTGGTTTAAGTTTTGAACATTAAAGGGGAAATATAAATGATAAACCAAGAAAATGACCTGAATAATGTTTGTTACTGGATTTACAAAGCAGGTTTATTAAAATCTTGAAGAAGCCTTTGTAATGGGACAAGGAATTGAGGAGATCAAATCCCATTACAATATTTGAATGAACTAAAGAGTAAAGTTTTTATAGGTAAATGAAATAAACATAAAGTGGTTTATTTGATCAAGGTTAAATGCTTTTATGAAATTCTGGCCATGTTTCATGGATTTTTTGCTGACTCCAGGACCGAGTTGATCTCTTAGGGATTAGCTTATAGGTGAAGGATGCATTATGGGAAGCAAAGATTTCTGTTTGTAACTTTTTAGGAGGTGGAAATATCCACTTACATACGCTATACTGTTGTTCTTTAAATTCAGATAGCTGGACAAATATTTCCTTTATTTTGAAGTCAGAGTAGGTCTTTGATTTCTTCCCTAATAAATCATACTTGTAAAAAATCTGGAGGCTCCAGTGGGGGATGTTTTGACCACTAGAGCAACTGGTGAAAATCAAGAAGGGGAACAGTCTTCCCTGTGTCTGATTCCCACTATGCCTCTAAATAAATCTCTCTGTTTAGGAGCCTGGGATACTTCCCTTCTCCTCTCGGTCTCAAAAATGTGCTTTAGATTAAAAAAAAAAAAAGGTCTTTCCTTTCCTATGAATTTCTTAATCTACTTTTTATCTCAAGTATAATGAATGTCTGATAGCAAGCAAGCACACATAGCTGGGCTAAACCTGAACTCTGCATCCAAGAGAACTACATTAGGAACATTTTTCTTTTTGAATGGCATCTTTTGCCACTCCAGTTTCTTTCAGCACTCTGTATATGCTCTGGAGCCTCTTTCCTAACAAGGCTTCTCCAGTGTAAATCTCCAGCACTTTCTCTAATGCCTTGCAGATATATCATCCCCACACAGCTTGTTAGTTGCGCGTTTCCTCATGCGGAAGGAAAGACTGCCTTAATAACACCAGTCTGTCTTTCATTACATAGTATGGCCCCAAAGCAATTGTTTAAGCAGCATCTTTGAACATGTTTCAGATCATGATAATCTGCACGGAGAGAAGCCCTTTGGGTTGGAAGGGTTTCAAAGGAAATGCACCCCAGTTTTCTTTTATCTCTTCCTGCGCAATGAGGAGCAACAGCTTGCTCAGATCATGTGAAAAGCAGCTTTTGCTGAAATCTGGAGCTATTAAAAGGGGATGCAGAAAAAAAATCTGGTTCTTCCTGTGATGCATCTGGAAAGGAAAATCGTTCTTCTGAAGTTTCAGGTCTGCAAAACAGTCCATTATGGAAAGACTTCTTTTCAAAGTTATAGTAGTTTTAAAAAACCACTTTAGCACTCCGTTCCTGATCTTGAATGCCCACATTCATCTGAATTATGGCCCCATGCATATCAAGCCAACATGATTAAGTACCAAAGAAAATGATTTCCACCCATCAGTATAAGGTTTTGGCTGGATGTAAATAAACAAAGGGCTGCAATATTTTTAGGAATTGTGAAGGAAAGAGTATTATAACTGCTGCTTTTTTATTATAGTAAAGCCACTACACTTTCTGAAACATTATCCCTCCCCATTCAGAATCCTTTCCCACTGGCTATGCTGACTGTGGCTCCTGGGTGTTGTAGTAAAGCTAGCATCTGGAGGACCACATTTACTTCTGCTTGTAGTGTAAAGTAAGAGCAAGTTTAACTCATAATTAGATTTTGTCTCAGCCATGATTCCCACTGGCTTTCGACTTCGAAAACTGTCTGACTATATCAGCAGAACAAAGCCTCTCTAAAACCAAATAAGGCAGTATTTAATAAGCAAGGATTATATAACCGGCTTCTAGGACCTACTTTGCTTTTTATTCCAAGTGTGGAATCAAAATACAGGACCTAAAGCAAGTAATCAAGGTCCACTGCAGTGATTTATTAGATAGTACTACTGGAAAGATCTCCTCCAAAGGAATAGTAGGAGACACACCCTTGAAAAAAAGAGATGCACTCATATTTATACATTTCAGAAAGGAAGGAGAAATAGTGCATGCATACATATTCATAAGTAATGAAGTAATGGATCTCAGGTTAATTCCTGCCTTTCTGTTATCCACAGAGAACACTGGTTATAGGAAAAAAAATGCATCTTGGGATTTAGGGGTTGCTATGGGAATGTTCTGATAAAACTTGCCACAAGTTGCTGTGAGCTACAACGACACATTCCTTATGTCTTAATTTGTCTGTTAAACAGTCCCATTGATGCCTGTGTAGATTTTGACCTTGAGGGATGCAATATCCAGTTCAGTTGCTCTGTGTGTAGACTTTTAGACGCTCTATTAAGACAGGACACTGTCTATATGTATAGATTTGCTGATGCTTTATTTAAACTTATATTTGTGTATCAGTGATTGCGTGACCTCTTAGATGCCATATACTAAATAAATAAATAAAAACAATCCCATTCATCTGAAAACCGATTTTCCCTACACCAGTACACCCAGCTCCAAATCAGTCATTTGGAATATGATAACAGTAGGCTTCACTCAAGCCAACATGGTCAGTAGTGGGAGATGCTGGAATAGCAATTTGGCCAGTGGTTCTCCATGCCGATCTCAGAATTAGGAAAATGAGCAGACAGAAGCAAATGCTAGTCTAGAATTCTTGTCAATGTGAGAAGTGCCACCTCGGCGCTTCCCGCTCCCACATGAAAGGCCTGGACTTCCCAGTCCTTTTATTTAAAAATGTCCTAATTTTCACTGTAAGCTTGCTTTTATCTCAGCCTAATTAAGAATTGGCACAGCAGAAGGAAGACATTTCTGTTATTATAAAGTCAGCAGTCAGTGAAAATAGGCAAAGATGTAAAAAGCAAAGAGTTTAGTTTTGTAGGCAAGGTCCCAAGCTGCTTATTAATGATTCTGAGAGAAATTCAACAAGACTGGGCAAAGGGCTTTTATTGGCCCATGGGAACTGCTATCAACTTGTTTTAATCCCAACAGTCTAACTTCTTAGCTTGAGTCCTTAAATGTCTATGAAAACAATAGGGGCTTATTAGATAGTCTGAATGATTTATAACAGGACATTCAGCTTGGTTTTGTGCTCTGTTTTTTCTCTTGCCACGAACAGCGTTGTAGAAGGCCATCTTTGGTGTGTGTGTTTATAGACACTTTCACACACATACTGTACTAATGGAAAGCTATATAATAAATATCTAGAGTTTCCTCAAAGGAACATAAGTTGATTAGCAAGCATGGTTTCTCATTATGAATTTTATGGACAAAGCATACTGGCAAAGCTTGGTCTGGTGAACCCTGAGTTCATATTCAGAGGTATTGAGGGCTGCACTGAACATAATCTAAAAGTGTTGGCAAGGCCAGCATAGAAATGAGGCATCACAAAGCTGAGACCTGAGAAAATGAAATCCAGAGCAGCATTTTAAAGGCTGTCATTATCAGAGAACTCAACACTCCACTAACCCAACTACATTTTCCATATATGGAAGTGAAGATGCGCTCTGGTGTATCCTTGGTAACAATCCCAGAAGGACCAGAAAAGTAATAAAAGCTTGTGAAGTTTGAAAGTTTTCAAAGCATTTCAAGACCCTTTAATTCAATTGCTTCAAAACTAGTCTTCTTCAGTGGTTGGTGAAGTCAAAGTTTCATTGAATTGCAGCACACTTTTAAACTTTTTGCATTACTCAGATCTATTTGTGTTAAGATTATATAGCCCATTCACATTTAGGGGCTCTAGGTAACTTATAACTTCCTAAAATTTAATGAAATGTTCAGTATATCCTTTAAAATCCATGAAAATGCATATATCCTAAATTTCCTCAAATGTAACATGGAAGAGGGCAAGTTTCATCTTTGATTATTCCACTGTTTAGGGACCACCATACTTAATTATTGATGATAAACATATCTGTGGTAAAATCTGCAAAATATCTCCCACTGAGAAACTAAGAGTGATGGATAGAGATTTGTCAGGTGCAAAGAATCAGAACAACACAGTGAGCTGATCAGAATTGCTTCTTTATTGTTGCATACCTATTTACAAGAATCTACCAGACTGACTAAATTATCTCTGGAACAGGCAGATAAAGGCTTCAGGAAGTAGGTTTGTGTGTGTGTGTGTGTGTGTGTAACCTCTGTCACTTCCTTCCCTGCAAAGAGTCCAAGATCATCAGACTTTTCACTCTTGTTCCCACTCAAGGTGGAGATTCCACAACACTACTCTCTATTGAATTAGAATGAACACAAGTTTACCAGTGGGTTTCAACAGGAAGTTTAAGGAGTAATCCTTAACGTGAACTCTCTCTAAGACAAGAGTTTTAATTTAGCTAGCTAGTCTGAAGAGGGAATAGGAAGAAATAAAAATGTTCAACTAGTGAGGCCTTAAGAAACAGAAGTAAAAAGAATGGGCAGAAGTCACTAGTCATGATCTGCACTATCTGTGGCATATTCATGTTCCTGCCTGAAAACAGTCTGGTACAGGTAGTCCTTGACTTACAACCACTCATTTAGCAACCATTTGAAGTTACAATGGCACTAAAAAAAAGTGACTAACAATCAGTCCTTGCACTTACAACTATTGCAACATCTCCACATTCATGTGATCAAAATTTGAGCACTTGGCAGCTGGCATGTATCACGCTGGCTCTGTTTAGTCCTGAGAAAAGAAACCAAGAGGTGACATATTAAAATTAAGTGCCTTGAGAGTATGACAGTAAGAAAACAGAGTAAACAACCAAATAAAATTAAGCCCATGACTTCAATAGAAGAGAATATTTATAGCTCAGGATTGAATTGTGGAATGTTTGGTGCTTTCTAAGATGCTTTGTTTGAATGATAAAAACGACTTAATATCTCAACACATGGCTAAACTCACCAGGATTTCAATTGCAAAACTATTAGCATCTTAGACCAAGCCAAATCCAAAAATATTAGAGAATTCCAGATAGCTTGGCATTTAGATAAGTCAGCCATCAACAGACACATAAAGATAAATCACATGTACACACCATTCAAAAAAGGCAAAACAAAACTAGAAAGGAAACAAAAAGACTATAATACATCCCCTTCAGCAACTCACTTTCAAATAAGCAGGGATCAGACAAATAATCAGGCAGAAAACAATACAGTAGTTAAGAAACCAAACCCCTCCAAACCCTAACAGGATAATATTGCATATCAATTGGCACTGATACTGCCTAGTTGGGTAATGAAATCAGCCAACTTGGTCTAGTTGTTGAGTTCTAGTCCTGTCTTAGGCATGAAAACTGGCAGGCTAACTTTGGGCCAATCACTAGGAGACTAAGAGTTCTAGTCCCACCTGGGCTATGAGAGTCTGCTGGGTGACTATTGGCAGCCCAACCCACCTCACAGGGCTGTTTTTTTGGGGGGGGGAATAAAATGAAGGACTCTTAAATTTTTTTGCCCCCTTGAGTCATTTATAAAAAAATAATAATTAAGTGGGATAAAAGTTAAATAAATACAAGCAAGCAAACATCCAAGCTCTGGAAGCATCCAGAATTCTAATACCCATGACTTTTTCTGAGTACAAGGCATAGAATAAATAAGTTAAAGGAGGGAATATTATGGTTAAAGGTTAGGAAAAGTATCCTAGCAGGCACAGCAATTTGGCAATGAAACCAGCCATCCTTTGTGGGGGCTGGCTTGATATTCATTCTGGATACTTTAAGCTGAACTGAAGAAACTCTATAGCCCTCCTAACTCTGTTTCTGCGATGCTTTGGATTTTAGCCAGGAGGAAACATTCCCTAGAATGCGTGCCCAACCTTGGCCAATGTAAAACTTGTGGACTTCAACTCCCAGAAATCCCTAGCTAGCATGGCTGGCTGGGGAATTCTGGGAGTTGAAGTCCACAGGTCTTAAAGTTGCCAAGGTTGGACACCCCCCGCTCTAGAAGATGAGCTGAAAAGGGGTGGGTGAGTTTCTTTTCTTTTCTTTCTTTTTTTGGTCCAGCAGCCATGCATTCTGCTACATGTGTGTGAAAAAGGATTCTCTGTGAGCTGCCTCTAGACCCTCCTCCTCCTCCTCCGAAATCAGACACCAAGACTTCTAATCACTCCCTCTGCCAGAAAAAAAACCCTGCTCTGTCTTTCCTCTTTAAGAACAGATTCTTCACCTCTCCCTCCCTTTTTTTCCTCTGAGCATTAATTTTCACCGTCCTTGGCCACACAATGTGACTGGGTGTCTTCCTCCCCCCCCTACCACCACCACGACTTAGGCACTTTTAAATAAAGAAAGGACCATTTCGGTTTCCTGCATTCAAAACATGTCATGTATCCAAAAAACCTGGATTGCAAACTTTTCCTTTTGGGTTCACCTCCTTAATATCCAGGCATTTTGCTATGCTAGAAATCCTCCACCCGGGAAATTTGTCTTTCCAGACCAGAAGCAAGGTCAGTAGCTTTTTGTTCTGTTTTGTTTTTAAATTACAATAGCTGCATAAAGCGGAGGAAAATGGGGCATCTTTCTTCCACATTCCTGCACTCTGGATCTTAAGTGTGCAAAACAAAGGACCCATCAGCAAGTAAGTCGCTAAAGTTTCTTCTCCTCCGTTGAATGCATCTAAGCTCTTTGATATTTCTGAATTTATTGTGTATCATATGTAACATTTTTCTTCTCCTGTTAGTAGAACAATCACTGCCCACCGCAGCTCGTAAGTGGTCACAGAAGCATTGTAGTAGATTTAAACGGCAGAGACATTCACAATATTTTCCCCTCCTACAAAATTGGAGCTTTGTCGAAATTGCAATTATTATTACCCATCCTCCTTGCAGCCAGTTAACCGTTGACCTGGTCGCTTCCAAGCTGAAATTACAAAAAAAAAAAAAAGAAAGAAAGAAAGAAAGAAAGAAAGAAAGAAAGAAAGAAAGAAAGAGAAAGAAAGAAAGAAAGAAAGAAAGAAAGAAAGAAAGAAAGAAAGAAAGAAAGAAAGAAAGAAAGAAAGAAAAAGAAATGCTCATTGATGACCATTCTCTGTAAAAGAATCAGCTTCGCTCCAGAAACCACTCTGAATGGGATTTTGAACAATTCTGTTTTTCCGGTTGCAGTTTTCTAAACTCGAGTTTGACCAGTTGATTCATCAGTCATTAAAAAAAAAAAAAGTATCTGACTCAAGGAAAAAGCAATAATGAATAAAAGGGCTTTTTGTCTTCCAATTTCAGCTACAAGAAACAGTTTATTAGGATGAGGTTTATAAATTGCACAAATGCAGCAAAGCTACGTGAGGGCTGTTTATAGCCATTTTGCACGAACAAGGAATTGTTTTGACATTAGAGGCCCTGTTTGCAAGGCCTGGGACTTGCACTTAAATACTGATGGGGTGGTTGATATTTTCGCAGCTGTTGATTGTACAGTTTTAACAGCATGCTTGACAAGGCGGGTGTCCCAGGAATGTTGCACATTGTAATGGGTTTGATTCTATTAAGAATCATCTGCAAGTACCACTCCATTTCTTGAGTTTTGAGTTTGAGTTTCATTTAGTGACAGTTCAAAGTTACAACAGCACTGAAAAAAATGATTAATGACCATTTTTTCACACTTACAACCATTGCAGCATCCTCATGGTCATGGGATCAAAATTCAAACACTTGGCAACTGCCTGCTATTTATGATGGGGTCATGTGATCACTTTTTGTGACCTTCTGACAAGCAAAGTCAATGGGGAAAGCATATTCACATAACAACTGTGTTACTAACGTAACAACTGCAGTGATTCACTTAACAACTGTGGCAAGAAAAAGCATAAAATGGGACAAAACTCACTTAACAAATGTCTCACTTAACAATAGAAATTTTGGGCTCAATTGTGGTTGTAAGTTGAGGACCTGTAGTACCTTAATTATCCAATTGGTTGCTCAGGGTTTTGAACATTACACCAGTTACAACACTGAAGCACAGGTGAGGAGGTTTGGCACAAAGAAGCATCAATAAGGGGATACAGGTAGTCCTTAACTTACGACCACAATTGAGTCCAAAATTTATGTTGCTAAGCAAGACAGTTGTTAAATTAGTATCACAGGAATTATTAAATTAGTAACATGGTTGTTAAGTGAATGAGCCTTTCCTATTGAGTTTGCTTGTTAGAAGATCGCAAAAAGTCGTCATATGACTCCAGGACATTGCAACTATAATAAATACATGCCAGTTGCCAAATGTCCAAATTTTGAACATGTAACCATGGGGATGCTGCAATAGTCATAAAGTGTGAAAAACAGTCATAAATCGCTTTTTTCAGTGCCGTTGTGATTTCAAACGGTCATTAAATGAATGGTTGTAAGTCAAGAATTACCTGTATTCTTCAAGGCCAAAGAAAATTCTGCTTAAGTATCTGGTAGTTGTTTTGGAATAGATGAGGATTAACAAATGAAATGTAATCCAGACAACAGAGACATGATGGAGAACCAGAAATCTGTCAGTTGAACCATGTTGTACAATAGGTCACCAATGGACTTGCGCTCTCTAAAAGCACCAACTGTCCAGAGCTCCTGGATGCTCTGTCAGTATTACTAATATATTAGTATGGCAAATTTTACACATGTGTTTTTCAACTCCCAGAATTCTCAGTCGTGAAAATGCTGGCTGGGGAATTGTGGGATATGCCAGAGTTGAGAAGCACTTGGTTAGATTTTTATAAAGAAATGTTTTTTAATCTTGGCAGCTCAGTAGTGTCAGTGGCTTAAATTGCACTTTATCAGCTTTAGCAATAGCAATAGCATTTAGATTTACATACCGTTTTATAGTGCTTTATAGAACTCTCTAGGCAGTTTACAGAGTCAGCATATTGCCCCCAACAATCTGGGTCCTCATTTTACGGACCTCAGAAGGATAGAAGGTTGAGTCAACCTTGAGCCAGTCAGGATCAAACTCCTGGCAGTGAGCAGAGTCAGTCTGCAATACTGTATTCTAACCACTGCATCACCACTAGCTTGTTTTCCTAGTGCAGCCTTAGAAGGGAAAGCAGACTTTATATAGTATGAACTACACACAGATTATGAGCTCTTAGATTGAAGAAGGCTAGCATATTCAATTGCCTCTGAATGCATCTGCTAGAATGCATGAGTGTTTTAGATGTACAACTAATTGAAGGAGCTAATTTATGACTAGTTTACTCCAACTTTTACCAATCTGCTGCTTTTCATATGGGATTCGGACTGCAATTGCCAGAATTCCCAAATAGGGTGGCATGCCACTGGTTGGGAATGTTGGCAGTTGCATCCCAAACATATTTGAAAAAGTACATTAACTTCTGAGCTACACCTAGAAGACTGGAAATCACCATTATTAGCAATATCTAGTCCTTTAGTCTTTGGGGCCAGCAGTTACTACTGGAGAGTATCAGAAAAGAGAATGATGCTCCAAGTAGTTCCTAAGGAGGGAGAAGGAAGCATATCTGTATTTCTATATTTCTACAGTATGTTGTATGTGTAATACAAATACATACAGATTAGATCAGTTCATAATTTACTATTAATAGCATCCTCTTTACTAGCCTCAGAAGTGTTAGAATCATATAGATAGATGAGTTGGGGTATCCCTCATGGATGATTTCAACATGTATTTGAAAGCTGGACTAGATGTAAGAAAGCAAAAGGAGAGATTTATTCCTCCATTTCTTGTAGTTTAGATAGTAAGTACTCAAGATGATTTAAAAAAATATCTTGGCTAAAAAAAGTGTGGCAGTGCTGACTGACATGCTTTTGATTAGCATCAATATTCACCTTTCAGCTGAACTCAACCCCTGATGATTTCATGGGCAGCACTAAGTCACTGCCTCATTTGGAATATTTCTTTTTTATTTCTCAGTCTAGTTCTGGACTTTCACAGTAATGTCTCACTGAAATATTAATCAAATAGAACCCTGATTAGTTAGTGAGATCATTCAAGGTCAGCGAGGTGCTACTATTTGCTAGAAACATAGCATGAACTACATAAGATGAATTCATCAAAACAAAATGTCTTGATGAGAACAAGCTGAACAAGTCATCAGAACAAGTCATCAGAGTATTTTATTTATCTATTTGAAATGAAACAGAATCAAAATATTCTCATGATGAGCCCACAAGGTTCATCTTGTCCTATATGTTATTTACATTGTCTTTTAGATAATGTAAACAATAAAACAGTTTAAGAATTCATTATGCCAATTAAAAAGTCATTAAAGCAGAAAGTAAAACACAAACCATTACAAAGCTTGGCTTGTCCTCCAGATATGTTGGCTAGAAATTCTGGAAGCTATAGCTCTAACATTATCTGGAAGATAACAAGATGACTTTAGGCTGACTTTAAAGAGTGAAACATTTCTAAGGGGCGAATTCCAGACAATGAAAAAACGATGCTAAAATTAAAGCATATAAAGCTAATCTTTATAATATTGATTGTACCCATAATTTATTTATTTGTTAAATTTATTTGCTGCCCATCTCACCATGGGACTATTCTGGGCAGCTTAGAACAATCAAGCAAAAAAAAAAAGAAAGATAAAAAATGTAAATATAACAATAGCAAAGGAATAAAACAAAAATAAAGAACGGAAGTACAATAATATGAAATTAAAGAAGATGGATGGAGGAGAAGCAGGAAGTGCAGAGAGGAGGCTAAGTCAGCTAATTAGTCCAATAGCCACCTCCAGTGTGGAACTCCCCCCATTTGATTCCCAGGCCAACTGGCAGAGCCAGGTCTTCCGGCCCTCACGGAAGGATAGGAGGGTGGGGGCAAACCACACCCGGGGGGGGGCAGGATGTTCCAGAGGGCTAGTGCTACAGCAAAGAAGGTTCTTCTGGATCCCATCAGTCAAAGTTCTTTGACTCACTGACAGATAATAAATTAAGAGTTTCTGAAAGTCTTGGACATTTAAAAGCAGCAACAATCTTGCCTCACGCCTACTGTAAATGATGTTCCTTAGGAGTTGCTACATGGCTATTTTTAAGAGCACTAAGGAGAAAGATCTCATTTACTATAGACGTATTGAAATCAGGTCATAATTAATTCCTGCCTGAGCAGGGGGTTGGACTAGATCACCTCCAAGGTCCCTTCCAACTTTATTATTATTATAATTTAAGGGCCATTTATTTCAATAGATATATTTTAAACAGGATGTAAACACAGTGTCTCAAATGAGCTTCAATGGTTCAAACTTTGAATTTGGCAGGGGAATAATGGCACGATGTTATACGCTGTAAGCGTAATAAACTCTAACATGAATAGTGATCCCTTTTTAAAAAAGCTAAGTTTCAACTCTTTTTCTCTCCTAGATCAATTTGTTAAAGCGCTGCAAGATTGCCAAGTGGTTAGCCCAGAAAGAGTTGATGGATATGGACATTTTCTCTCCTACCATTTGAATCACCATGCTTCAAACTTCAGAGGGAAAAGAGACCCTAAGAGAAGAGACAGTAAATCGTATTATAAAATTAGGCACAAAAACAAGGATCTCTTCTTCAATTTAACTCTTCACCGAGAATTACTGTCCAATAATTATGTTCTGGAAAAGCGCTATGGCAGCTATCTTGGTGCTAAGATCCTTCCAAGGGTAGCCACGTCATGTCACCTTATTGGGACGGTCATGGATTCTGATTCCAGAGACGGAAGAGCAGCGATCAGTACTTGCAATGGGCTAGTAAGTGACTGAATTATTTGGAAATCTTTATCACCCTTTGTAATTGTAAAAGGAAGTTAGACTTAAACCAGCCCAACCTTAGGAACTATGCATAAAAAGCTAATTTTAAAATGTACCAAAATGGCGTTATAGAAAGAGTTATCTGGTACTTACAACTGGATTTTGAGGGAAAATTTTTATCTTGAGGCCTGCTTAAACTCATCCTCTGTTAAACCATAAAAATTGTGCAGGAATCTGAGCAATTATGTGTACTTGGTGGCTGTTCTAGGATTCTTAGATTTTAGGGGTGGTAGCCATCTTTAGAATTCAGAGAAAATCAGTGCTTTCATACAAGCGCTGAGGGAGATGAGTGAGTTAGAAATTGGAAGAAAAAATAAAATAAAATAATAAAATAAATAATTGTTGTTATAGGGGGGCTTCTTAGTCACTATTAGAGAAGCCACTTTTCACCTGGATGAAGAAATAACGGAGACTGGAAACCTCGTCTGCTTGCAAGTGGGGGCCACTGCCTCCCAAAGTCCACCTTCGCCTACTGCCCAGTAGTTTCATGCACATGGCTGGCTTAGCAAGCAGCGGCAGGGCATGGCCCAGTCCAGCCCAGCAGCAACAGCAACAGCAGAATCCCCCCAGAATGGCTCCGCCAGTGCCAGCTGTGTGCTATTTAACCCTAAATGCCCAGACCAGACCCTCAGGCTGGTAAGGAGGCAGGGGCTCCAGGCAGGGATGGCAGCCTCAACGGGGCAGGGCAGGTGATAAGTGGAGCACTCCGCCGCTGCTGATTCCCCCTCAGAGCTGCAAGCGTGAGGCAGCTCTGAGGCAGCGCCCATTTCCTTTAAGCCTGCTGAGGCTCCAGTCTGGATGCTTAGGGTTAAATAGCATACAGCTGGAGCCAGCCTTGCCATCCTGGGGGGGATTCTGGTGTTGCTTGTGGCAGCGTCACCGGCATGCCTCGCAGACTCCTGCCCCATTCTGGCTGTGAGCAACCAGACAGTGGGACAGAGTAGGCGGCGGGGGGGGGGGGGGACGAAATAAGACATCTCCCAAAATAAGCCCTAATGGGACTTTTGGTAATATGTATATATACCAGGAGCCTTGAAATGTATTTAAGTTTGGGTGATTGTAACAGAATATTGAAAGTCTGTCAAGGCTACTCTCAACTTCAACAGATACCCAACCCAATCAAGATGGAGTAGTGCTGAGTTTCTTTCCCGCACTTTCTATTTTCCCAGAACTCAACTCTCTTTTCTGTCACAGCTGGGCATTCCTTTCCTCCTTCTGTGAATCAAACCTAAATTCATTCCCTGGGATCCATTCCAGCTATAATTACTGAAAATCCATGATTTCTGTTCTTTTAAGACAGGAAATATGAAAAGCCACATAAGACCAATAGGCTTAACCTCAAATTCCTAGAAAAAACACAAAAGAAGAACCATGCTTCGCTCAGTCATTAAACTTAGTCATATGCCCTGCTTCATCATCTGATGATGTTCTGATTGCCAAAATAAGGACCCAGATTATTGGGGGCAATATACTCACATTGTAAACCATGCAGAGAGTGCTGGAAAACACTATGGGGTGGTATATAAATCTAAGTGCTATTGTTATTGCCACCATCTCAGTCATTGTGGTTCTCAAGGAAGCTTGTGATGCTTCTGGCCCTACTATAAATTGCTGTCTTCTCTCTGTCATCTCCAGATACTTGGGGCTACATCTTGGGATGTAGCAATGGCAATAGTCACTATAGGTATAGGCATTTGGAGGAAACCTTAATAACATCTTGTGTATCACGATGTCATCGTCCAAATTGCTACTTCATGTCATTTGTGTAATAATGTCATAACACACGTGATGTTCTTTGTCTCCAAAGATTCCCATGATCAAAGGTTTGCAGTCCCATCGTATCAGGGGTTGTCAGATTTGGGAAAATCTGCTCTGTTTTAACACTGACTGTCACAGGTCCTTTTGTGACCATGCATTTCCTTTGACAGTAAAGATACCTCTAGAGCAGGGGTAGGCAACCTTGGCTCTTTTATGACTCGTGGACTTCAACTCCCAGAATTCCTGAGCCAGCACAGCTGGCTCAGGAATTCTGGGAGTTGAAGTCCACAAGTCATAAAAGAGCCAAGGTTGCCTACCCCTGCTCTAGACAATTTGGGTTTCTATCACCATGTCACCTGATTTATACACACTGAAAACTTGAGACACGTTTTCTGGGGCAGGAAAAGAAAATTGGAATTTCTCTTGAATTTTCAAAACAAGGCTTTCAAGTTGATTCAAAGCCAGCCAGAATATCTGCAATGTGGGAAATGATTTGAGTTTTGGCCTAGGCCCTAATCAAAAAAAGAAGGTTTAGTGAGTTGGCAGTCAGTTGCAGCCTGCCAAATTCCAGCCCAAAGTATGTTCTTGATCCTTAGCTCTTCCTTCTTTTTACAGATTAAACAAAGCCAATGTAAACATTTGAGAACATTTCCCTCCTTTTGGCTTCCACCCCATTACAGAGAAATGAAAAAAACTTTGCTTCCCGGCAGGTCTGTAAAATCTCCTGGAGTTGTGTTCAAAAGCATGCTTGAAAAGAGAGCTTAATATAGATGGAAATGTTGTCTGTCTTGTTAGCTCTCTACAAGTAACCATCATACAAAGTATCAGGAGAAAGCCTTTAAATAAGAATTTCAAAGATTTTGGTTTCAAGCATTGCCAAGAAAAGGGGCAAGGATCAAAGTGCAATGGCAAAAATAGCTCTGCACATCTGGGGCACTCCCATAATTTTCAAATAGTAGGAGAAAGCTGGCATTAGATTTATTCTACACACACTACCTACTGAACCATCAGGCCCTTATTCCTGTCTTCTGCTGGCTTAAGATTTTCAATGGCATTCTGAATAAAGCTGTAGTTTTTAAAGTTTGCAACCCAAATGTTTTAAGGGTACAATGTATGCATGGTTTCCCTGCATGCTTGTTTGATCATTTAATTTTTTTTATTATACAAGAAATCTACTGTTTCTTAGCTTTGCTATTTCTACTATGTAACACGTGTCAGCCACAAGTCTAACAGAGAGAAAAACTTAAACCTGCAGCCTAGAGCATCTTGGAAATATCTAGGGCAGTGATGGCGAACCTTTTTGAGACCGAGTGCCCAAACTGCGACCCAAAACCCATTTATTCATCGCAAAGTGCCAGGGCTGCATCAGCATTGTGGTGCCCTCAGGGGGGGTGAGGAGAGCGTGGCCCACTGGGTGGGCATGGCTGCAGTGGTCAAGGCAGACTGGGTGAACAGTCCCTTGCCATCTCCGGGGCATCCCTGGGAGGCCAACGCCGCTTGCTTGTTCACTTCCTGCCCTGTTGCTTCCAAACGCCACATGCTTGCTACTCTGGCGAACTCTGCTGGCGCAACGGCACGCGTGCCCACAGAGAGGGCTCCGAGTGCCGCCTCTGGCATGTGTGCCATAGGTTCGCCATCACTGATCTAGGGAATGCCCACACAAATATATATAAATGAACAAACACACACAAAACACACTGTTGTAGTCCTTGACTTACAACAGTTCATTTAGTGACTGTTCAAAGTTACAAGGACACTGAATAAAGTGACTTATGATCATTTTTCACAATTACAACCTTTGCAGCAACATCATGATCATGTGATCAAAATTCGGAAGCTTGGCAACTGATTCGTATTTATGATGGTTACAATGTCCCAGAGTCATGTGATCAGCTTTTGCGACCTGACAAGCAAAGTCAAGGGGGAAGCCAGGTTCACTTAACAACTGTGTGACTAACCTATCAACTGCAGTGGTTCTAACTTAACTAGCTAGTGTAACTAACTTAAAAAAATGCAATGATTCACTTAACAACTGTGGCAAGTAAAGTGGGGCAAAACTCACTTAACAAATGTTTCACTTAGCAACATAAATGTTGGGCTCAATTGTGGTCGCAACTCAAGGACTGTCTGTACAAGAGGCATGCAGGTAGTCCTCGACATACAACCACAACTGGGACCAGAATCTGCATTGCTAAGCAAGGCTGTTGTTAAATGAGTTGGGCCTGATTTTTATGACCTTTTCATTCCCAGGGTTGTTAAGCAAATCACTGCAATTAAGTGAATCACATGATTGTTAAGCAAATCCGGCTTGCCCCATTGACTTTCCTTATTGGAAACCAGCTGGGAAGGTCTCAAAGAGCAATCATGGTCCAGGATGCTATAACTCCGTGGTGGCGAAACTATGGCACGCGTGCCACAGGTGGCATGCAGAGCCCTATCTGTGGGCACACGCACTGTTGCCCCAGTTCTAGGCCTTCAGCTGGGTTTTATAAAACCTTTTCACTTTAGGCCTCCGCCGCCGTGTAAAAAAAAAGTTTCAATCAATCAGTCAATTTCAACTTCTAGTGGGAAAAAAAAGATATTGCACAGTTGCAATTGATTGATTGAACTTTTTAGTCCCACTCAATCTGCCATTACCACTGCAGCCACGCCCACCAATGGGCCACACCCACCCGGCACCCGACGATACATAAGTGGGTTTTGGGTTGCAGTTTGGGCACTCGGTCTCTAAAAGGTTCACCATAACTGTTGCAAATCCATGCTGGTTGCCAAGTGCCCAAATTTTGATTACAGTACTGGGAATGCTGTGATGGTCATAAGTGTGAGGACTGGTCATTAGTCCCTTTTTTCAATGGTTGTAAGTCGAGGACTATCTCTACACACACACTTCCACACACCTTGATTTAGAATAGTGTATTTTAAAACTGGCTTGCAAGACTAATTTAAAACAAAATATAATGTACAAAGAGTACATTGTATATGGATCATTTTTTTTTAAAAAAAAGATTGCATAGTGTATTAGTTTTCCAACTTGTCCTTTTAACATCCCTTGAACACCTGCCTAGTCCAGATCCAATGCTGTTAATTCCAGATCATGAAATCTATTTTTAAATCTTCGGTGGTTAGAAAAATAATCTCTCTATACGCTCATGGATATTCTTGCTATATTAATGAATTCCCAT